TCTTCCTTTATCCAATTGACTCCGAGCACTCTCAAATCTTCATCGTGAGGTTCGGCACAACTTTTAAGTATTTACATTTTAGTCCCCGAACTTTGGATCCCTTACAATTTAACAATTTCTCCAAATTTGTCAACTTTTGCTTATTTTCTTCGATCTCACCAACTTACATCACAATATCAAAATCACACATCTAATTATTTATCAATTACATAAGCATTACCTCATTAATTATTTAATTAACCAAAAAATATATGATAAAATCTATTAAATATTAGTATCAAAAAGCAGGCCGTGAGCTCAAAAAAATGATTATTTAATATTTTAAACTTGAAAGTTGTTGTTGAGTGAAAGCTCTCACCTGCCTTGCCTTGCATATTGGATAACGTATTGTCACGTTAATTATCCATTGTCACTATGTGACTTTTTTTTTTCACTACTTAATTTTTTTTCAAAATTCAACAACGTCAAGTAACCTAGTTCATTGTGTCGAGAAAATAAAAATGCACGAATTATTGGAATATATTTGGTACGTCACCTTAATCATGTAACAATTTATTAATTCTTGTCTATGTTTGGCGTAGTTCGCGAAATATGCTATTAAAGGTTACATACGAAGAGTTGTATTCGATTATGGAGAAGTCAGCTCATGGTGAAAATTTAGATTTTGAAGCGTGAGAAGGAAGTTAAGTGGATAATGGAAGAACGATACGAATAGATACGACACTTAATTGTGATTAATGGAACCACTCATGAAAGCAACTAACAGTGTTTTCCTAATAAAAAAAGTTGCAACGTTTGTTACTTTTATTAAGTTATTGTTGACTTTAAAAATACGACGTCAACATATCTTCTGTCACATTTTTGTTTATACGAATGTTATCTACACACTCGAACATAAATCATTAGGCACCAAGAACGTCTTGTCGGGAAAATGTGTATGCAGTTGTTGACTTTTTGACGATCAAGTTATCTGTCGATTTGAAATGAGTATTAAGAATTGTGTACGACTATTTATAGGTGGGAGTTTGTATAGATTTAGATTAGGATGTGACAATCCTAATTTACACGTGTTTCATTTCCATAGGTTGAGGAAATACCTTCATTTGTACATAAGTTTACTTCTTGAACTGAATTACCAATTACCTTGTAGAGATTGATTTATTTTTTTGAATCTTCCTTGGTCTCCAAGGATTCTATGCAGAATTCTAGGGATTGATAAGAAGGTTTCCTTGTACAATACATCTTAAGATATAGCCTATTGTCTAGTAAAATTGCAGATTGCTTGGCAAAGGCGCAGTGCCTCATTCGAATGTCCCGTCGGCCAAACCTATCGAAGCTTCGTCGCTAGGCTTCCCATGAGATGAGGTTCGACGAAGGGACGAGGCTTGATCATAGTGACTATTCATGTGAAGATCATGTGAGATAACGCGGTACTGCCTAATATAAGATTTGCAGGTCAGATTGCCTCGTATCATCTAGACAAAGAATGTAACACCATGTGCTTCATTCTCGTAATTATCTTGTATATCTAAATTATGTATTAATGTTATATTTACTTCTTAATTTTTATAACTTTCTCGCGACTAATCATATTTTGAAGTGGAATGTACTTTTGACGTTCTACACGATCGACGTGCTTAACAAAGTTAATTATAATGTATATATAATTCTATTAAATGAAAATAAATTGTATGATATATTCATTTGATTGTATGCTTATAGTTTTATGACTTTCCACTTCTATATGAATAAACCTAGACTTTTACTTGGAAACTTTCATAATTTTATATTAAGCAAATTCAGTTTGATTAATAATTAAGAAATTTAGATTTTATTAATTATTTACCAAAAGCTTTCCCTTATTAGTGGAATTATTATTAGAACTAAGCATCTCATTACAAGATAAAGTCTTCCTTTTACTCATTAGGACCATGAAGTTGTCCAACCAAAGAGAATGCTCATATTCTTTTAAGTGTTGCATCTTGTGGGATTTTAAGACTTGCACACAAGGTACAAGAAATTATTAATTTTTCTTGTTATCTTTCTTGTCATTGAATTTATGCTTTATGTGGGATTTAAAGACTTGCACACAATGTACAAGAAATTATTAATTTTTCTTGTTATCTTTCTTGTGGGATTTTGCTTGAATTTATGCTTTATAATTAATTTAAATATATGACTCTTTTTTATTTATTCTTTAAAGGTATATTATATAAATAATACTGAATATTAAATTTATTTTTTATATGTATAATTTTTATTATTATTTATTTAATTAAGGTTTTAATTTTTTTATTCTTTTTACAATATTTTTTTATTATATGGGAAGGGGAAGGGGAAGGGGAAGGTGAAAGGGAGGTGGAATTGCGGGAATCACAACCCCGTATGTGATAATTTCACACTATTGAACTAGAATCTAGATCCACATAAATTCTATTTCAAATGAAAGTCTTCCAAAACTTATACAAGTTTTAAAATGAAAATCTATAGAAATTTACAAAAGAATTTCATTAATCACATACAAATCTATAAAAAAATTTACGAAATTGATAGAAGTCGTCACTTTAAAAAGTCCATCAAAATCGTCAAAAGTTTCAGTTGAATACACCCTTCTTAATATTAACCACTTTGTTGTATTACCTGTAGAACTCAACCGGGTTTCAAATAATAATTTTTCACTGTATTTTAATTGGCTTGGCGATACATCAAGAGAACTCACGTCATCAATGTTAATTTTTTAATTAAATGAAAGAAAGGGGATATATATTGAGAAATATTTTATTTTAAAGTAATTCATAAGCATCTATCATATGCATGAGGTTTGCTTACTGAACTTTAGTTCATTCCACGTTATCCCTCCCCGCTTTCAGATGATGCAAGCAAAATGATTCAAGATGACAGTTTGTCATAACACGGACCCAATATCATCATATTTAAATATTGAATTCGTTTTTATAATTAAAGATATCATTCAATTTAATTGTTCTATATTTTATTAAATACAAATTATTTTAAAATAATAAGTCATTGATATTTATTATGTCAAAGAACATTTATGATTTTAAGAGAAAGTTAAATAATAATATTTTCAAATCTGAATATCTAAATTTGAGAGGGTTACAAAGAATGTGTTGACAGCTTGGAGCTCCCATATGGCTTGCTATTATAAGTCTACGCGACCTTCGCATATTATGTTGCCTCCACACAAATTCGTAGGGCAACATATATAATCCTTCAATTACAGAGAAGGCTGATATGCTAAAGATGATTAGTGTAGCTTATAAGTTGTTTTGTGATTAATTAATTATGGAATTTGGCATCGAATCATTAATAAAAATATGTTTCTTTCAAGATTTAGTTTTCCTTTCCTTAAATTTTAAGATTTAACCCATGTATCAGTCTTTTTTTTTTTTTGGGAAGAATGAGTTTTTGAAAAGTAAATTTTTGAGAACGTGTGGTTAAAAAGTAGGAAAANTTTTTTTTTTTTTTTTTGGAAGAATGAGTTTTTGAAAAGTAAATTTTTGGAGAACGTGTGGTTAAAAAGTAGGAAAAATTTTGGGTTTACGTGAAAAATATTTTATTGTAACAATGTAAAGTTAAAAATGAGTGTTCGGAAAAAAGAATTTTAGAAAAATGGTTACCAAACACGGGATCAGTACGATTATCTTTGTTGTTGATAAATAACATTATTCTTTCACATTAAATAATAAATAAAGCTTGTTAAAAAAAAATAAAAAATAGTAAACAAATACTATAGCAACCTAATTTCTTGTACATATACCCGGTTAGGTATCCATTATTTTAAAACTCTATTTACTACATGATTATTTTCAATCATATATTCACACAATAAAATACTTTGCACATAATCTCAAAATGCTTCTTACTTTTCAACTATACATTCTCCTAAAAATAATATTCAAAACATTTTTTTTAAATAATAGGCACCAAAAAAGGAAAATATATAGTTCTTGTTTGGCAGGGATTTTTGGGGGAAGAATTGATTTTAATAGTGATATGATGGAAAATGTGTGGTTGAAAAGAAGAAAAAATTATTGATGTGATGGAAAATATTATTTTATTGAAGAATGTGTAGTTGAAAATGAGAATTGATTTACTGTAAAATTTTGAGAATCCCTTCCAAACAGGGCCTAAACTTACCATTTACAACGATTGACTTGGGAAATAATTTATTATTTATTTATGATGCTGTCCCCAAGACTATTACTTGGATTGTTATGTAATGCTATCAAAATAATTTGATAATTTAACAAAAAATAAAAAATTGATAGTGCAATTGTAAAATTCTTGGGTGGCAAGTTCTGTCTCCCATAATATCATTAAAGTCGCGTCATGTGATAAAAAAAATTAGCTTTTAAAACGGCATCAATATTGACACAAGACAAATAATTATGTATGCAGATAAAATATTAACTAGTATTTGCCAATTAATAAGACAGATTAATTTTAATTTTATCTAAAATAAAGTGTAATAATTAATGTTTAATTCGTAATCAAATGAGTCGTAGACAAACATGAATTTTTGTCGAAACGAGTTTCACTTTTTCGTGTCGCATTTTAGGCCAACCATGTTGTCACTTCATTGACAAAAAAATTAACACTTTACCATAGTAACGACAAGCGATATGAGAGGAGCCTAAACGAAATAGTGGACTTTCAGGATTGGTCATTGTATGTCACCGCCTCCCACCTATTCTCTACACATTCGATCAAGGTTGTCACTGCAAAACTATACTATAGTAAATTCATCCTTCAAACCTCAGAATCTGAAACTAATCACGACTATAAATACATACTCGATGTGGTAGTTTATCACTCATCATCAGACTCAAAATCACCAACACCACGAAAAAAAAAAAAATACCATTAACTTTAAACTCAAATATAAGAATAAGGAACATCGTCAAGAAGCTGATTCGAATAGTAGAAGCTACAGAAAGAATAATGATCGTGTAGAGAGATGAGACAAGAAGAATGGTGACGAAGGAGGAGGATGTAAACAAACTGGCAGATGATTTTATCAAGAATTTCAGGAAGCAGCTCAAATTTGAAAGAGAAGAGTCACTCAAAAGGCACCAACCATCAAATGCTAGCCAGGGGAATCTGAATCATAACCCATCTTTGTACTCATTATCAAGCTTTTCTTGTTTTTTCAGTGCATATTATCAGAAGCATTTAAAGATGGATAATTTTGCATCAAAATGGCTTAAAACCTACCAAATACTCATATTTTCCGACTTGCTGGACCTCAAACACATATACAAGACACAGTTAGGTGGAAGTTGGACTAAATGCTGAGGATTTTTCAAAATTGACCACAAAAATGCATTTGTCTGTTGATTCCACCTAATTCCCTCTTATTCTACTAAAAGTGAGAAAATAATATGACCTGAAAAAATGTTTTAAGAAGCCATAAATTGGAGAGCACATAAAGATATATTTATGGTTTAGGAAAAGTAAAACGTCGTTCAATAGTCTCAACATTAGAAATGCCACTTGTATTCACAAAAGATCTTCAAGACTACAAAATACCGATAACCCACAAGAGACAAGCAGCTATGGAGCCAAACAACAAACAGTACAAGATATTTGCTCTCTCTCCTTTGAAATGTAAACATGTAACCTTACCTCATATTTCTGTTCTGTGTCATGCTCCATTCAGAATCCATGTTTACCTACTGAAGAAGGTTCAAGTATTAATCAATTTCTAGAGTGAACTTCATCGTCAAGCTGATGATGAAGGTTCCCTGGTGAATCTGCCAAAAGCGTACTGCTTACCGGGTATATCTATGTTCAAGACTCCTGAATGTGTTACTTTCCACATGTTGCATATCGTCGCTCATTCAACCTCCGCGTATAGACTTCACAAAGTAAACTAATAAAGGCGACCATTGAATCAAAAAGTGCAGAAAACCAAAATTGATAATCTGCGGCAACAAATGTAGTCAAATGGAGAAAGTGAAGCGCAACTTAACAAAAGTATGAGCAATACGGAGGCCTATCTTATGCTTGAAGAACCTGACAGTGTACGATGTAACACTTAGATCCACTTCGCCCAGCTATACTTGACCATAAATTTGTAAAGAGCGACTTCAAATGACCTTTACTGGCAATATTTTCCCAAACATGAGGATTACTCTCCACTTTCTTATCAGGATTTGAGACATCAACAATACTTATGCTCATATTGTTACGGACTATACAGAGCTTATCATTGAGAGGAACAAGAGCAGCAGCCTCTAGAGCATGAGAATTGCCAAGGTGGAGCTTGCTATCAATAAATCTGTTCCAAGAATTTGTAGTTTCATTATATACTCTAAGCTTACAACCATCACGGCAGTCCAGAGCATAAAGCTTCCCGTTCATAGAGATACTAGGGTTGCGCCACCCAGCAACCATCCCATCATTGACCGTAGTCCATGTATTGGTTTCTGGGATATATGCTTCACTCAAAACCTCTCTGTGTGATCCAAGTCCTTTTAGGTACCACTTGCCGTCATAAACTACCCAAATAAATGGAACCATAGCCGTGCTCATATCAGCAACAAAACTCCAGCGGTTTCTGTTGGGATCATAAACTTCAACTGAACGAAGTGTCCGCTGGATACCCTCACATTCTCCCCCAGCAACGTAGAGACGGTTATTAATGACACAAGAACCAAAGAAATGCCGTTTACGAAGCATGTCCGGAGCTCTGTGCCATTTATTTGTCCTAGCACTGTAAAAGATCACGCGCCTCATAGATCCGTTTAATGGATCTTTTCCTCCAAACAAGTACAGGTGGCAACCACTTAAAACGGCACTGCCAAATCCAAGTGCCGAACTATACTCCACTGGAACAGGTGGAAGTGGCTGCCACATTTGGTAGGTTGGGTCAAAAGCATGCCATGAGATCCGTCCGTCACGATCTCTTTTTATGACATATACCCACTCTTCAGCCATGCCAAGACTTTTTCTGAGAGAGTAAAAGAAGTTTCCAGCCAGGAGCTTGTACCATTTCTTGCAAACTAGACGCAACTTATTATGTTCCACACGAGGCACTCGGATGAGACAAGCAATTGCAAGATCATCTGGAAGTCCAGGCAGGAGTGGTGGCTGCACTCTGGTCCTCTCTCTCCGGGAGTCCTTTTTCTTGTGTGAGTGAGGAATTATATCTGGTTGGATGCAGAGTTTTGATCCTGGGACAAATTTTCTTGCCCCAACAACAGTTTTTAAGCCTGAATCGACCTTGCAATAGCATGATACAGAATCAACCTGCAAATAATTCCTGGTTATGATATCAAACGTTATACATGTCAAGAAGCTATAAATCTTGAGAAGCTAATAGAAATTTTGACTGTTTAACCATTTCTGTTACTTTGTTTTCTTCTATGTTACTCCAACTCTGTTTATCACGCCATACCCATATCCAACATGACCGCGGATATTTATCCATCCCTTCTGATATGGCTCAACTTTGTGAACTTGATAGAAGTCCCAAACTAAGTCATAACTACAATGTACTAAGTGAAAAAAAGGTCTCCTTTCATATAAAGTTTTCAGTTATATTAAATATCTTTTCTTGAAAATGCAACGGTCAAATTTTTTCCGCTGACAGAATTATGTAGAACGTCCAATTAGTTTAATAATGTCGCAAATAGAATGTGCACGTAAGACTCCTTTCTGGCTAAACTCACACCTTAGTCATGCAACATAACTTTTGGAGGGTTGCACTTAAAGGGGTGGATTGGTGAAGTCTTCAACCTCTCAAAGAACAAGACAAGAAGTTGAGTATCTTCAAAAGGCTCAAATGTTATGGATAAAAGCGAAGGGAAAGTAAAAAATATTTCATTGAATTGACTTCTATTCTTTTCATTATATTCACAGTTTACATTAATTTGACGATGGGATGTTAGTCACATGCTGCTTTCTCAAGAGCTGTCTGAAATAGAAAGGTTTCGACTAACAGTCCTGCTATATCTAATGAGCCATGTCTGAAATAGAGGTTTGGAGGATTTTGTATGAGCTGATGCTGCTCGACGATGAATTTTGAGCCTGTAGTTCAGTATATGCACAGAAAATTTGAACTCTTCATATGGAAAGACCACTGTTTTAAGAATGTTTGGAAGACAGTCAAAAGAAAAGATATAATGAAAGCATATGCATGAATAAAGTATAACGAGGGAAGGATACCTAGAGAAATTTGAAAACCTACCAATTTCACCGTAAGCAGCATCTCAAGATTAGAAGAAGCTACCAATAGAAGGCTAATAATTTATGCAAAGGGGTTTTACATCAATATTAACACTAAAAAAAAGAAGGAATAACGCCCATACAGCATAGCCGGGTTAAATATAACATAAATGATATCTGAAAATCAGAAAATAAAATGTCTAATCGTAATATAACCACGAGAAACATCAGTCAAACAATTTTTCTTCTTGTGTTTAACCATTTTAGTTTTTCCCACAAATAAGAAGACAGCCCTGCCAACAAATAAAAAGGGGAACCCGCAGCAAATTCCCAATCTAGATTCTCAAAATGCCTTCGGCCAATCCTACAGGAAATAAGATTCCACACATCAATGACAATCTTCCCCGCCTGCTTCCACACCATCCCAACACCAATCTTTTTAGCCACATTAAGCAATTTTCCTTATGTGACATTTTAGAAAAAAAAAAACATTTACAAAAAGGGGGAAAAAAGGGAAATCCTAAACCCCACATTTTAGTATCTTCTATGAAAAATGTACCGTGTGAATTCATTTTAATTTAATAATATATCAAGAAGGGGGGCATTTCTGAAATTCATACAACCTATAAACAGTCGTCTGAACTGAAAATTGCCCAGATAAAATTACTGATAACTCGAAGTCAAAAAATCTTGGGAGATTTCACGTTCAACGTAAAATTCAGCTGGGTATTTGCAAAATTCATGGATATAAAACAAGACCCACAACACAAATTCATTGAGTATCTTGCAAAAAAAATACACATTTACAGGAAATTTCACAAGGGCATCTCCAAAAACACATAAATTCAAGAAATTATCAGCATAAAAAGCCAGAGATTCAATTGGGACTCACCAGTGGAGCTTGAACTCTAAAACCCCTATGTGCATTTGGTGACCTCTCAATTGTTTGCTCCATAATAACATGAAATCCTGCACCTAATTTTAAAGACTCGGATCCACAATTCTCAAAAGAAAAATCTTCAAATTTTTAATAAGAAGGCAAAGAAAAGAAAAGTGAAAGGCCCAAAAGAGAGCTTTTTAGACCTTTTTTCTTAAACTACGCAAAGGCGAAAACAAGAATACAAGGAGCAAATATTATACCCAAACGTTATAACTAAAATCTCTCTCTCTCTCTCTCTCTCTCTCTCTCTCTCTCTCAGGATTAACATTACTTATATTATATATGCAAAATGTTTGTTTTGTTCCTCTGACTACAAAGGGTAACTGAAGATTACAGCTGGTCCCATTGTCTTAGTTTTCACCAAACTTGGATTTGCTCCGCGTAACTATTAATTAATGCATTATTTATGACTTTTTAAAGAGAAAATTATAATTTAAGCATATGCATTTCTTAATGAGGAAGGCGGAAGGATATGGTGAAGGGATTGTTCATTTTTCTTTACTACACTTAAAATTAGATATTGATTAATTATAAATCAAAGAACATCGCTCGAAATAATAAGTTAAGACAACATAATGTGCACTCAAAATGTGATGGACTGTGTTGTATAAAAGCTATTGTTGATCAATCATGTTAAGGGTCTGCTTGGAAGCTTTGCTGAACTAGTTATGAGCGTTTTTTAAAGTATCGATTTTGAGCATTTATAAGATGATTGGTTTTGAACGGTTTTTAAAACTATGCAACAAATGGTCGAGAGTTTATTATTCACCAATTTTGAATTTTTTTTTAAATGCAATTACGTATATATCACTTAGTAAAATTTTCTTTTATATGAATTTTTTTACTCATAAGTGATATTTTATAGATAATTTTTTTACATATAAGTTAATATTTAATTTTAAAAATTAATTAATATTTTAATTTAATATTTTTTACTTATAAGTAAATTTTATACTTTTAAATAACTTTAAGTGAATTTTTTTACTTATAAGTAACTTTTCTTATATTTTATAAGTGAATTTTGTCTTATTAGTAGGATTTTTATTTTATAGCAATTTTTTTTTACACAAAAGTGATTTTTTACTTATAAGTAATTTTTAATTATAATGTAATTTTTCTTATCTTACAAGTAATATTTTACTTATAAGTATTTTTTTAATTATACTATAATTTTTTAAATGATAAATATTTTTTACTTAATATATTTTTATTTACAATTTAGTTTTGAACAAAATATATTGGTTGGAAATAATAATTTTATAAATGGTCAAATTAGAAGAGAATATGAGAAATGGTCAAAACTCATCAATTTGACGGATTGAGAGAGCTGCTCACACTACACTGATTTTGGGTGATTCTTAAACCATCCAAAATTAGTGTCCAAAAAAACTGGTAAGCAATGATTTTTCCACCATCTCATAAACGTGCAGTAGGTTTTAGTCAGTTTTAGGGTGAAAAAAAACTCACAAGCAAGCCCTAAATGTACATCATGATTGACAAAAGGTTTGACACTCTTTCATGTGACAGCAATATACACCATTGATTTTAAACATATTCGTCTCATCACTGTCTAGATTCATTCCATCGTCATCCTTGGTGCGAACCAAATATGTATAACTAGCTTAATTCATTATTGATTATTGGTGATTCTAATTTTAAGCGGATGGGATTTTGGAATTAGCTCACCTTTGTGGGTTGCAACCCTGCGTTAGGTTATCGTTGAATGTGTATCATCCAGAACAGGTATGATCTGGTTAAATTAAAAATTAGTTAATGAAAAAGCAAGTTACGATTTACTTTTTGTCAAAATCATTTGGATTCAAAAAAGAAGCACTTGCGTCGTCCAAGACATAAAGGATGTAATTTAGTTAAATTAAAATTCATTTATTTAAAAATCAAGTTATAAATTTACTTTTTTTATAGAAGTAATTTGGGTTTGAGTAAAGATATTTGTACATAATTCAATATACCGAATTGTTTACCCCTCTCACATGCACGCGGGTCTCGCGTGAATAAAAAAATTTCAAGATGTGGTCCCCACCCTCCTATTGTGAGTAGTCGATAAGGGATTAGGTAAAAAAAAATCCGATACATGTAGCATGGTCGTTTGGATTTCTATCCATACAAAATAAAGTAAAAATAATTATTACTTGTTTTTGAACTTAACTAATGTGGATAGAGGACTTCAAGAAGCAATTGACTCATTCTTAGTTTTATTATTATTTTAGGAAGTAGTATTGACTCATTCTTAGTTTCATTGAATATTGACATTGGTTAATTACATTTTTAATTTTTTGTAGTAATTGTCATTGAAGTTTTAAAATAAACCATAATCATATTCAATTGTTGACTTTATAAATGATTTTTTTTATAAATTGATTAGACTGATTTTATGAATTAGCAAATTCCATTTCAAAGGCTAGAGTTTATGGTGTGAATGTGAAAAGCAAAAGTATTCTTGGTATAAAATATTTTACGAACGTGAAAATAGACATTTATTGCCTTTTATCCGTTTATTAGATCGACGTATGATGGGAATTGAGTTATAAACGAGAGTGACGTAAAAATTTAAAATATCGAATATTTATTTTTTGCTCTGAATCATTCAAGTGTAGATTTTTCTTCAAAAAAGAGAGAGAGAGAGAGAGAGAGAGAGCTTTTATGCTTTATGCTACTTTACCAACCATAGTTGCACTTACACAAAAGAAACATTTGATCTTGTTGGGAAAAAAGTCTGGTTGCCCATAAACAAGTTTGGCAAAAAGCAATTATTTCAAATCACTGTTTTTGCAGCTATTTTTAATGACTTGGAACATTTTATATGCATTCGATTTGAATACATTATGAGCAAGATTGTCTTTTTCATGTCATGTGCAAAGCGCGCCCCTATTTAATAGAATAAATGGTCGAAATCAGACAGTATGTGCCATTTGTGCAAAGAATGGTCGAACTGAGGGCTCAAATGTCAAAATTGAAACAAGATAGACAATTTGTGAAATGTAGCAAACGAAGCCATATTAGAATTAGGTTCATTAAGGTGGCTTGATTTCGATAGAACAATTAAAAGATTAAGGAACACCCTCAAAACAAACTATTCTACGGAGTTCATGATATGTTTGTGGGCCGTCCTCATGGACAGACCACCAGAACCTCGTTTTGGGTCTCAGGCCGGACAAAACTGCCATGAATGCGGCATCGTCAGAGATTTTCTCCGCCTCCATAGACTGTTTGTTGAACCTATCCAAGTAACTTTTGAGGGATTCCGTCTTTCCCTGTTTTATGCTTATCAATCTTTCCTTTGGTGTGGTCCTTGCCTTTGACCCCATGAATTGGGCGAGAAAAGCAGTGGCAAGGTCGTCCCAGCATTTTATAGACCTTTGATGTAATCTTCTGAACCATCGTTGGGCTTTGTCACCTAGCGTTAAAGGGAAAGCACGGCACATAATGACATCATTTGCTCCTTGTAGTTCCATCCAGGAGGAATACTAGTCAAGATAGCTGAGGGGGTCTCCCTCTCCATCATACCCAGCTATTTGGGGCATTTTCATCTTTTCAGGCAGTGGTTGTGCTAGAATGTCCTCAGTGAATGGTGAGTGCCATTTAGTAAAATATTCATCGATGCTTCCCTTGCTTTTGGCCTCCAGGTCCGCAATGCGTTTTTTGAGAGCACTCACTTCATTCTCCGGCCGCTCACTAGCATGATTCCTTTGGAGCTCAGCTTGCTTTTTGGTGGGTGTCAAGGAATGCTGAGAACCCAGCCTGTCAAACACGCTATCTGTTCTTTTAGCGTTTGATTTTGTCGCCGCGGGGGAGCTCAAGACTTCTTCCGTTTGACTCCTAGAAGAGCCTTCGCCTGAGAAATGTAAGGCTCTCCTAGTAGGAGGTCGTCTGGTTATTTCCTGGTGGAAAGATTCCACTTCGTTTTCTTGCGGGGGACACCTAGCTTGGTTTTGTTCCAGCCTGCTGACAATGTTCGTTAGTTTTTCAATGGCTTCCCTCATTGTTGCCATTTGTGGGTCAGTAGTCTCATTCCGACCTCGTCTTTCGGAATTCCTGGGATTGCTACTTCGTTCGGGACGGGTATGGGACTGGTTTTCAGATGCTGAAAATCCATCCATGATGTCGTTCGGTAAATCGTGAGTAGAGATGGGGCCGTCTTTCAAGTTGGGGCCCTTCTTTTAGCGCCAAACTATTGACGTCCAAAATTGAGTGGACAAAATTAGAGCCAACTTAAGATAAAAATGGTCATTCGAATCAAAATGAGTGGAATAGATTCATGTTATTATCCAACAATCCTCTCACTTTCCGAATTATGGGGGATATTTAAAGTATTACAATGAGTATTCTTGGTATTTTCTCTAGGATTTTCTTGTCCTTTTCAATTTGCATTCTGAACCTTTTTATAGGAGGAATATTCGAAGACTAGTACTCATGTCTTGTCAACATAGACAGCCAAACTGAGCTGAGTCATGTGCTGGCGCAACAGGGTTGGAGCCCGAACTCAACTCTGTCCTATTGGCCGTCAGGTGATGGGACAGGTGAACTTCAGTAATAAATGCAAAGTCTTAGCTAGGCAAGCTAAGACATCTGATTGGAGGACTAAGTGGGCGCTGACATAGGACCTTTACACGTGTGCCTCTCTGACTGGTAACTTAAAAATCTTGTCAATGATCCATAATCATTATTACTATTGTACCTTGAAGGACTACAACAGCTTGTTGAGTAAGTTACTTAGAGCCGAGCTGACCTCGTATATCCGAACTCGCGTTATTTTGCCCTTACTGGAATATGATAGTCCGAGCTGAACGACCTCTCAGGTCGGTGTCAACAATATTCAATTGTTGACTTTATAAATGATTTTTATTAATAAATTGATTAGACTGATTTTATGAATTAGCAAATTCCATTTCAAAGGCTAGATTTTATGGTGTGAATGTGAAAAGCAAAAGTATTCTAGGTATAAAATATTTTACGGACGTGAAAATAGACATTTATTGCTTTTTATCCGTTTATTA